TAAAGTTTTTTTAAAGAAAATTACTGCGTTGATAGCTCCTTTGAGCTCTCCTTTGGAACTACTGCAGTAGGATATCCCAGACACTTAGAGATGGAGAAAGACACTACTCTACTGTGAGAATTAAAAGCAGAACAGTACATACATGTTACAGACTACAGCAATTTAGACATACTGATGTAATCCACCTGCGGCAATGAGGCGAGGTCGGGTCAGGAGAAAGCACACTTGTCTCTCCATCTCTTGGAAGAGAAGGCAAAGAGACATTGAACCTTAAGGTGATAGCTCATAAAATCATGATTTAAATATATAAACACATAGAAAAATATAAACATCTCAGACCACATAGCAAATAAAAATGATTAAAAACTGCTCTGGCCGGTTTGGCTCAGTGGTTAGAGCGTTGGCCTCCGGTCCAGAGAGACCCGGGTTCGGTTCCCGCTAAGGGCATGTACCTCAGTTGCAGTTTGTCCCCGGCCCTGGTTGGGTCGTGCGGGTGGCAGCCACTCAATGTGTCCCTTTCACGTCAATGTTTCTCTCTCTCTCTCCCCCCCTCCCTCCCTCCCTCCCTCCGACTCTATCTGAACAAAATATGGAAAAATGTCCTCGGGTGAGGATTAAAAAAAAAGATTAAAAACTAAAAGCATATCATAAAAAAATGGCATGTTTAAAATAAAACATGGTTGTCAAAACACTAAATGCAAATAAGTAAAAAAAAAAAAAAAGATATTGCCTATATTTTGACATCAGTCCCCTCCGATTCTCTCTAAAAGAGAAAATCATCTGCTATATAAAAGAGTGATTCCAAAGGCTTACAGGAAAATGATAAACCAGTAAACAAACAGATCTGAAACGGCTGGTGGAGGAAACGCCAGAAATCCCCCCGGTGCCCCTGTGGGGATGGAAACTTGTCTTTTCCCTGGTCCTTGGTGAGGGCCGTGGGGCCCAGGTCTGCCTGTAGGGGGCACACTTTCTAAAATGGGAAACAAAAACAACAAATAATTATAGTAATAGCTCATAGCCCAGTGTCAGCACACCTCACTGCCTCGTTCAACATTTATTCAACAGCATCGGCAGTTTTTTTAAAAAATAAACCTTCATGTTTTTATATCTAAGTCATTTTAAACTGAGAATGAGCCTGTTCTGAATTTTTTGAAGATTATTTATTTCAATGGTGGTGCTTCAGGCTGGCTTTTGGAAAAACATTACTTCCCTTTTTTCATTTTTCTAAAAATGGTCTTTCCTATCCCTGGCCCACGGGTGACGAGAACGGGAGTTCATCTCAAAGATGATGGCAACCCTCTGGTTTGACGTTCTCCCTTTCTCGTTTGCGTAACCTTTACCATGTGCTTCAGGACTTCTCCAAAACGAGCTAAAGGATTCTGAGGACCCCCAAAAGCTGTGTTATAGTTCTCTGGGAAAAGACACTCCAACTTCACTCTGAGAAGCTGAGGAGAACTGTAAGACTCATGGAAACTACTAGCTGTCCTAACATTAAGAGAATCACAAGACAATCGGAAACTGCTATATCATTTTCCACTAACCTGGGTGTGACGTGTCTTCCCACCAAGGAGGTGACAACTAGAGGTAACAATCTAGGTCATAACTTAGAGCCAAAACCGGTAGCCACCAGGATATAGGCAGGGAAAATTTTCCCAGAGGTGGAAAGTTCAAAAGAGACCCTGAATATTACAGAACTGGACATACTGGTGAAGAAAGAAAACCCTGGCAGGAAATACCAATGTGCACTGTGCTTCAGGAGAGGAATAAGTGATTTGGTTGATTTAAATAAATAGGTAAGTAAATATATACATTTAAAGTTATTGATACTTAAACATGATTTCTTAAAAGCATTTCTAGTTAAGCTATACCATTTGCAAGTAAATTCCCATTAACATTTCCACTGAAATGGATCCACCAGATTCGGGGTGAGTGCTTGAGCCCGTACAACAGGGCTAAACCCCCGAGAAAAGCTGTTCTTTTAAGTCTCTTTAACTAAGTGATTACACGATGTTCACACTACCTTCACGAGTTGATGGATCATATCTAAATGAACTTTTAAAATGCATTTCTGGCGTGTTATCTGTGTGAGATTAGCTGAGAACACTGTGTCCCTTGTTGTCTCTAGAACTGACACAAGTGGTGTGTCTACGGCAGGAGGTGTCCACCGAAAGGGGAAGGCGCCATGTCAGGGGACACGAAGCCGGACACTGACTAACACTGTACCTTTCCTTAGAGGCCAGCTGTGCCTGGAGCCAACAACTCACTTTTTTTTATTTGTTTTATATCATGGCCAATCTTTATTGAACACTTACTATCCAGAGGTTCTATTCTAATGAATCCTGTGAGAAGTAGGCATTCTTGTTTCCCCCATTTCACACAGAGAGCTTTAGTAACTTGCCCAAAGTCACAGCGCAGAGGGAGCCATGATTCATGCCCACGTAATCTGGTGCTGCGGTCTGTGCACCTACTTTTTACATCCACTCCTTTGAATTTGAGTTAAATCGCCTGAACATGTTTAACCTGAAAAATCCCTAGGAACTAGAACACATTTACATGGATTCACTTAGGCAATCTAAGAGGTTACTTATAAAACTGAACAGACCCTTTGCTACTACCTACCTACCCTTCAGCAATTTAAGATTTTTATCTAGACAACTACTAAAGATGGCCTATTTGATTGTTTGATTTCTTCTTTTTTGGGAAAAAAAAAAAAAAAAACCCATTTGGAAATGTTTTTGGTTAACTAATTGAGGAAAACCAAACCAGGATCCTTCGAAGGTGTTTTATTGCACATAAAGCTACCCTGGAAGGAAAAACTTTTAAATGAATAGGAAAGTTTAGTCTAGTTTGATGCTAACACATTATTTCATTTTTTAAAATATTTAAATTCCAGGTGTGCTTCCCCTTTCTGTTGACTTGTTAGCACTGACCAATCGATCTCAAATGCTTAGAGAGGCAGCTGTTGCGGGTGCAGCCTTCCTCTGGGAACACACCTCCTCCTGCCTGGATCTCTGAGACACATCACCATCTTCACACCCTTTTCTCTTCTTCGTCATTAAGTGCAGGCTCAGCAGAGGGACCGCTCTCCAACCTCTGTTAAAAAACAGCAATTTCTTCAGATCTGGGTGGTTCCTATTTTCCTTTACAGAGTTTCCCATGCTTTCCATTACATGTAGTAACTCTGACAAGCAAGTTCTGTTCTCTTTCCGTATCAGACTTGCTGATAAATAACCTTTCCTAGTAATTCCTGCTCAGTGCACTCGATAAAACGTCCACCGGGGCAAGCTGGAAGGTGAGTGGCAAAGGTAAGCATCCCGACACAACTCTATTGAGAAAGTCATCAGCTGTTTCCTCGAAATCTCCGGATTCTCCAACATGGGACAGCAGGTCTTTAACATAGTGAGAAAGCCCTCAAAAGGTCTATCAGAATTGTGGGCAAAAAGGTGGAAATTAAGTTGCCGTGTAAGAAGCAGTTTATATTCTAAAGCCCGATCAAGTGACTTCTCCTGTCCTAGAGGACTCCCCTGGGGTTTCAGTGACTTGTGGACTAGATACACTGCATTCATCTGCTTTGCAGGGAGCAGTATTTTCCATCACTGAGTTCGTAAGATAAAAACGCTTGAGATGCATACAAGCTGGACCCACAGCAGACCTTGGTGTTGCTGGCTTACACACTGACCAAAATCCCGGTAGTCTTCTCCCACAGGGCCTGCTGAGTGTCATTTCCGCACGAGGCTCAAGAAAGGCTGGATCCTCTGGAAGCAGCTTCCCGTGGTCCAGCACTTTGCATCTGAATTTGCAGTTGGCGTCGCCAGCACTGGTGCCAGCTGCTCCTGGCTGGCCAGAGTCCCATGCCATTTCCGGCCACTGCTGTGGTAGGTTCTTTAGTCGGAGATCAGGCCCAGGGAGTCTGGAGAAGACGACTCCAACACCACGATCAGCTAAGCCAGGACAGCTGAGGGCCTCGGGCTGGCCCGCGCGGGTTCGCGGATGATCGGCAGTTAACTCACTTTTAAGCCATCAACTATTTTAACCGAACCACCTGCTTGAGAAATCCTCACTACAACCCTGAAGGAGAGGTGGTCATTTTTCAATAGTTTACAGAAAAGGAAACAGGCTCGGAGATGAAGTAACTTCTGCACTCCCCTCAAACTGTACCTCTCCCAGGGGGCTCTGGAGACCCTCGCCTCCCTCCGCTTGCCTGGGGGTGGGGCCACCTGCCAGCACCTCAGCATTCCCGGTGCCCTCAGCTGTTCCCCAGGCCCACCCTCCTATCTCTTCACCCCCAGAAGTGTGGCCAGAATATTGTTAGGGCTCAATAAATATTTTTATAAATGTAAGGATTAAGTACAAAATTCCCCAAAAGGTGAGGACTACCTCTGATGGCCGGTCCACCAGTCCAGATGTGATATTAGGGACCTTCTGGTCCTCGTAAGTTCTCATGTCCCCAGCCAGTCTTCCCACTTAGCAACAGGCCTAGAGAATATACTTCAAATTCAGGACGGAGGCAGGAGGTTTAAAAACGAGTAAGTTTCTTTGATTCTAATTACCAGTTGTTTTTAGCTAGTACTATGGTTTAAACTTACATAAATGGGTCCTAAACTATCCCATAGAATCCTCAGTGTTTATCTAAGGGAATATACAACAATTTCTAGGTAAAGTACTTACACTATTTATTTTTTTGACAACCTACCTTGTTGACAATGTTTCTAGTTGTTAGTTTCCGATTCAGGAAGAGGGAATTCAGCCATTTGTCACAGTCCCGCAGACGTCATGCACATTCCCGCTGAATCAAACAGAAGACAAAGCACCAAGACCCACTCGGCTGAGACACCCCCTCAGCCGCCACGTCACTATTCAAACAACACAGGAATCGGTTTTTGACCTCATGGTTTGCCAAAGAAGTCTCTCTTCAGCAGGTCTAACCTTTACATTATGAATCTCAGTTTGCTATAAGCTCTTACATTTGTTCATGCTGAGCATTCTGCTTAACGACTTACCTAAAATGCAGTGCGGTTACGGGAGAAGTATTTCCTGTTATTTCAGAACCGTGCAGGTCGGAGCAGTTCCATGCCAAGAGAGATGGAGTATTCTGAGTCTCTGGGCTGCGTGGTACCATTTCTACGCTTTTCTTGCTGTTCGTGCTGGGGCCCTGGACTGTTCCTCATTTCACTGTGTTGACCCTTGTTCTGACGCCTTCTCTCTCGTGCCTTCTCAACTGAACGACGTGATTTCTAACGTTCTACCACCTACAGGAGCTCTGTGATGTGCGCAGCGTTGACATCGTAAGTTCAAAGCAGCCTGTTACCAGAAACAGTAATTATTGTTACCAAGCAACAATAATTCTATTCCTAAAGTAGTTCTGCCAAGCTAATTAATCAAGTAATTAATCCCTTGAATAAAATGACTTTTTGTTCTCTGTACTATTTTGAGGAGTCAAGTGATCTCACAGAGATGACCTGCTGTGGGGTCCTGTTAAACTCGCACAAGGTGGCAACATAAGCCCATCCGTGGTGTAAGTGGCTCTTTTTAAATGGAGCCTTAGAGTGGAGACACTCAGTGGATGGGAGCTGGAGTCAGAAAGACCTGACTTAGTTCCACCCAGTTATTTGCTGTGGGAACCAAGGCGGGTTGCATCCCCTCCTTTGTGTTGTATTCAACAGACTGAGTGCACACTGTTCTGTCATCGCTACTCCTTGCTTATGGAACTACAGCAACGAGAGCCTAGGTACAGTCGCAGCATCTGCAAATATTTTCTTCACTGAAAATCAGTGTGCACAGAAATCGCCCCCACGATGTGGCTCAGAGCCGGAGAGGAAGCACTACAGGAACAGGCTGTGGTTCAGGTCTGTGCCCACATAGGGTCAGCATAGTAAAATGCAAAAGGAACCTTAGATGGGGTTGGGAGACGTGTGATGTCAGGGGAGTCCAACCTTGTGGGGGAGGCACAGCAGTGGGTAGTAAAACCCTGGCTGTATTCACACAGGCAGTAAAGTGGCCCTAAAACCGTCCACTGGTTTCTCAACCACCACGGCGACAACTCACTGTCACGTTAGAGATCAGTGGGCCAGAAGGAGATGGAGTTGTCGCTAATTCCTCAAGAATGTCCCATGAATTCCAGCCTGTGACTTTCCTGTGTCACCTTATTAATGATGGATGTGTGTGTGTCACACATAAGAATATCCTCTAACATGAGTTTTGCAAGTATAGTGGATTGAATGCTGGCCCCCAAAATATATATCCGTCCAAAACCTATGCATGTGACCTTGTTTGAAAAAGGGCCTTTGCAGACATAATTCAGGATCTCAGGACGACAGCGTCCCGACAAGGCTGAAGGGGCCCACCAGGTAGGCTCTAAATGCAGTGGCCGCAGACAGAAGAGACAGAGCGTGGAGGCGGCGTGAGGACAGGCGCCCTGACGCCCGACGGCAGGCTTTCCTTCAGCAGCTACTTCATGGAGGGCCCGGCTTTCGTGGGCCCAGTAACAGAATATAAGCTGGGCAGTAGGAAGGTGTTTCTGTGCCTTGTCAGCCACCTACGCACCCAGGGCTCACCCTTGCGCTGACAGCCCTGCGAATTCCAGGTCTGTACCAACCGTCGGATCCGAGACTCGGCATCTTACCGCGTTCAGGATGGGCCCAGGAGCCCAGGGAGTGCGGAGCCACGAAGGGAAACGTACCCGTGGCTCCCAGCGTGAGAATCAGCATCTGGAGCAACAAGGCAATGCCTCTCCCCTCGGCTTCTTCACCCTCAGGCCGCCTTCCCGCTCCCGGGCCCTGTCCCATGGTCTCCGAGACGTGACAAAGATAAATTCCGAGTGCAGTGTTTCTGACTTAAAGTGTCACCATATCATTGACTCAGTGTCTCCAGGCTAACAAGTGCTCGACAGCGAGAGAGGCAGGCTTGGTCCAGAGGAATGACCTCCTGCCATCATCACGACGTTGTCCAGTTGGTATGGCGGGGCTCGGAATGTCCTCTCTGAAACCAACACCGAGCTACAAGGTGAGGAAAGGTCAGGAATGTGAAACAGGAACGTACACGTGTCCGCGGCCCGACGCCGAACCGCACGCGGAGAAGTGTGCCGAGGGCAGTTAGGTCCCGCTGCGGGAGAAGGCGGGAGCAGCGCGGGACCCTGCGGTGTCCAGCACGACAGAGAGCTGGCCGAGCAGGCGTGAAATCCACAGCTCCTTCCTTGAAAAGGCAACATCCAGGGCCGGCGGCAGACACCTGAGGGTCCCTATCGCCACTGACAACCAACTGGGGCGAAGGAAATGGAGCTGAGTAAGGGAAAACTGACACCTGAAAGAACAATGACCTGTTGGGGCGAGAGAAGAGAGATGGAGGACAGTAACCCATTATTGGTAACAAAAGAAGTAAATTAGCGCACAAGAAATTCTGTGACAGAGGAGTTTTCAACATGACCCTACTAGATAACAGCAGAATCCAACCCAGCAATGAGGTTTCTCTTTAATTTGTAAGGCCTACAAGGACGATTCCTGCATCCAGCCCACCCCTGGAGCCCTCCCGCTCTGCGTCCTCTTCAGGAAACAACTGTCCCACTAGAGTGGTGTCCAAGCCTCTTCTGCTCACTACGAACTGTGTGTTCGCCCTGCCTGGTCTGTTCTTTGCAGCACCCAATGCCTTGACTTCTCTTAGGGTTTTACTTTTCTCTCCGTTTCTTTTTGAGCTGCACTGGTTCACTATCTATTTCTGCTGTTTTATCATTTTCGCTTTGTGCTTTTTCATCTCTTCTCAGTGCTCTTATTTCAAAGCTTTCCTTCCCTGTTTTCCAAAAGCCTGAGTTCTAAAACAAACAATAACTGGAGATGAACCAGCATGGAATATGTAAAGAGATACTCCAAGAAAAAAAAAAAAACACCAAAGTACATAAAGAAATACTTCAAGAAAAAAATGTAAGAGACAGCCAAATACTACACCAGAAAAACTATGCCACAAAGCATAGAAGGAAAGTAGATAAAGGTCATGGGGAGACCCCATGTATATAAAATTAATAAAGTAAAATGAACAGAAAAAATAAAATTGCAATTTAAATGTATGAAACATTGGAAGCAAGTCATGTTTGGGGAGAACCACAATGATAAAACTGAACAAAATCAAGTGAAAAAGAGAAAGCACTTCACAAAAAGTAGACCAAAAAAATGAAAGACTATGAAAAACACGAGTTCTAAAACAGCTATAACTGATGCTGCTGAAAAAGGAAACAGAATAAATAAGACCAAAGTTTTCTAAAAGATAGTAATAGAAAAAAACTGCCTTGAAATAAAAGATTTAAAAGGTAAATTTTGCCCCTCCAAGACTGATATAAAACAACAAACCTAAGATTTCAAAGATGGACCTTCAAAGATACTATGAGCACCCAGACACCCCCACCCCCTGCAAAAAAAAAGATCGAGCACGTCGCTGATGGGAGCAGGGTGCAAAAGGAACTGAGTTCACCTTCCATGAGAACTGTTATTGCCGACAGCGAGGCAGGCCTAGAGGGCTCCAGGGACAAATGGGTGATGTAAAAATTTTATTCCCAGCCAAGCTATTTTTCAAAAATAAAAGCAAATAACATGAATTTTCAAACATGATGGGACTCAAGAATAATTGAAAAAAAAATTAGTAAATGACTGGTGAAATCAATGGATTTCACTTGGATATATAAACTGTGGGAACTGTGGTGAAATAATTGAAATGTTATTAAACAGTCTAATTAATAAATTTTGACAGGAAGAATTAAGGAAAGAATATAGTATCAGGAATATAAGCATGTTGATTTTTCTAATTTTGTAAGTAGATATCGCTTAAAGCTAATAAAGCAATAGAGATAATCTTATTTTATAATATAAAAGAAAACTTTTTTTTAACTTCACCCGAGGACATTTTTTTATTTTTTGTTCAGATAGTGTGGGAAAGAGAGGAAGAAAGAGAGAGAGAGAGAGAGAGAGAAACATTGAAAGGGACACATCGAGTGGCTGCCTCCTGCACAACCCAACCAGGGCCGGAGACAAACTGCAATCAAGATACGTGCCCTTAGCGGGAACTGAACCCGGGTCTCTCCGGACTGCAAGCCGACGCTCTAACTGCTGAGCCAAACCAGACAGGGTTAAAGGGAAACTCTTAAAAGATATACAAATAATAATACAATCAGGTAAATGAAAATAATATGCATATCCTGTTTTTACATAAGAATACTCTTACATATTTTAATTCTCCGTAAATCAGTCCATAAATTGAGTCCAGAAAAAGAAACCATTACTTTTTGTACACTAAAAGACATGAATTTTAAAGATTAGGTCAAAAAGTAAACATACACAAGTAGGTGAGCGGCCTGATCTGATGTTAGAAGACGTTACACAAAGCTATGGCAATGAAAAAGCTGAACAGCTGACTGGACAGAACTAATTACACATGGAGCTTAATGTATGTCCGATTAAATACATACGGCATTCACATCTAGAATATACATGTGGAATTTAGTGTATGATAAAATATATATTTATTGGAGCAGTGGAGAGAAATTTCTCCCACAAAGAGTACTAGGGAAACTGGCACCCATTTGGGAATGGACCAAACTAAATTTCTACCTCACCCTTATCAAAATAAATTCCAAGTAGATCAAAAGTTTTTAAAAGTTGTAAATACACATACTCTTTGACCCAGCAATTCCAACTTTAGGAATATAGCCCATGGATATCTTTCCTAATGAGTAGTACTGTACTTGTGCCAATATGGAATAATTTCTAGATCCATTTGTCAATAAGAAAGCAAGGTAGAAAATAGTAAGTGCAGTATGTTTGTACGTTATATAGAGGTATATTGATACCTATTTGTGTATACGTGTACATATTCATACATTACTATAAGAGACATATAATATACACACCCAGTTTACTCATCATAAAACACTTCTAGACAGGATCCGCAAGAAACGTGGCAGAGGTGGCCTGAGGTCTGGTACACCGCGTGCCTAGCGTCAGGAGACTTTCCTTTCCTTGTACAACCATCTGTACTATTGTATTTCTGTCATTGGCATAAAGTATTCTTTAGATTCATGAAAAGATATTTAAAAGCTCCAGTTAATAGTGGTAACCAGACAAGTGGGCACTGGGCTGAACTTTCTGGGACTCTGGGACCCCAGTAATGATGGACTTACTGTACAAGTAACAGGCAATGGTGATGCAAGTTATAAAATCCTTGATTAATTGAAAGCATGAACTCAAAAGATACATGGAGTCATGGCGAGATTACACTGCTGTAACATATTTATTCCAAGAGTGAATTCTAGAGTCACGGGCCTAGTATCTTAATACCAGGATGTGAAGATAGAAGAATTATATTCACTACATATATTCTAAAAAACAAAATATGTTTTAGGAAATTATGGAATTTACTTCAACATCAAATCTGGTCTCTTTTATTTGAGGGCAGATGTTTTGATTTCAAGGCACAATTAGAATAAACTGAAAAATATCTGGTAATGTCTGAGGCCCCCAAATACAAAGATCAAAGTCAAAATAATTTTTTTGTGATCCAGTTGAATATGAAAATTCTACTTTTCTAATGAATTTACAGGTGCTTCACAGAACTGGATGTCAGTGACAGGGCAGAACGTGGTCATGTTCTTGGTGATAACACCTTCTTTCAGTGCTCCAAGGGCACGCTGGGAGCCGTAATGTCACATGAACTTTACTTGAGTCGGAAAGAAATGAAGGATTACAGTGTAGTTCACATGAAAATTACATACCCATTCACTCATGCCTTTCTGTTCTGAAAACATTTTGCTGCTGAGGGGTACGTTTTTAAGACATATAAGGATGGCATATTTATGAGAGATAAATAAATAGGAGTTTGGGGTGTTGTTACAATTTAGATGTAGTTTATCCATCAAGAAGGCTCTTAAAAACCTCTCACAAGTCAAAGACCTGTCATTTTTTAACTGGACTACAGGATTTACTGTCTTTACAAGACAGAAAGGTCACTAGATTCAGAAACATTATTTAGTGCAGAGATTCTAAAAATCAACAGAAATTTTAAGGCATTTCACTAAATAGTACTAGGTCTATTATTGACATAATGTTATTTAAAATGTTTATAATATATATTTTAGTTTTATATATACATATATATATGAATGTTAAGTACATTATAAGAAAAACAGATTAGTGTAGTAGTCTACTACATCTGAGTTTTATGAGCCCAGCTCAACCTTATTAATGCAAAAGTCATATTTCCTGTTTAATAAACTTATGTCAATCAATGCTTTCCTTCCTCCTGTACCCCAACAGAATCATATTATATCTACTCCCTACATAGACTAGAAAACTTTTTCATTAGGCTCCAACAATAAACCCAAATAACAAGCAGTTATTTACTAAGTACTAATTATTTGTAAAGCCCTGTGCTAGGATCCCTACATCTTTTTGAACAGCCTCCAGGCCTCTGGGAAAACCCATCTCAGCCTTGTTCAGTGGGCTCCCGTCATCGGGGCATTCGGGGACCTAGCGGATGCCCTCACCTGGCAGAGCTAGAGTTAAACACACACATAGACCCGTAGAACAGGACAGATGAAAGAGTTAGATTTAGCGGAGTGATCCTTGATTTAAGTAACCAAAGAGAGAGATGTGGACAATATGAGAGCCATTTTGTCCTACAGAACCCTTCAGAGGCTAGGGCGTGGGAAGCACCAGGAAAAGAAGGGTTATGGGTAAGACATGGATTGAAAACAGGGAGATGGGTCATAAGTTACTATAAGAAAGACATGTCCCCTTTCTCACCACCAAACACAGAACACTAGGAACCAGGCAAATACCCTTCACTGGGAGAGATGAAATCTTCTCAATAGATATTAAACAATCTCAGATCAAAGACATGCCAATGAGTAAGGATCCACTGGGGGTGGGAGGGATGCAAAAAAGTGAGCAATTTTTCTTACCCATATGATGTTTTAAAAAGAGATTTTAGTTTCTAAGGCACAATTTAAGATGGCTCTAATGTTATCTCATGAGATCTTAGCAAGAGTGCATTTGACTTGTTAAAGCAATTTAAACGGATTGAGGGTGCAGGTGAAAAGATAGGATAAAAGTCATGCAGCCAGCTGTTATACACACCATCCGGTTAGAGAGGGCTGAGGGATTCCCTCAAGAAGAGAGCTTAGCAGGAAGTTTGAAAACAATACCCAGAAGCCTTCAAACAAATGTACAGACAAAACCCATACACAAGAAGACTTAAATGAAAACGGGGCAGAACAAATGTGACAGGGCCGTCAGCCCGACACCGGGACTGATGAGATTTTTGATGGGAATGCACACAAACGAGAAGGCAGGTGCAGGGAAGTACCAGGAAGACATACACCTGCGGTGAGACTCAGGACACCCAGGGTAAAATGCACCATGGGAAATATTGGGGCAAAGAAGAGAGGAAATCTGGGCTACAGTTATAGAAATACAGAATCCCAGGCCAGAAAAAGAAACATAGATTAGGCACACAGCTCATTGCCTGCCACCGGTGTAAAAAAAAAAAAAGTTGCTGAATACATAAACTGTAATTAAAAGAGCAGAAACTCAGGAAACAAAATTTAGTAGTGATAGAGAGGCCCAAATGTCCAAACAACATCTCTAACTCCCCCCCCTTCCAAAACCAGAGCCTCTGACAATTTGTAACATACCAAGAAGCTCATCTCCCTGAAAGTAGAGGAAGCAAAAATCGAAGCTACTATTCTGGACCACAATAATGACCAGCAAGAAGGAAATGATAACGTGGAAGTGTCAGGCACCTTGAGAGAAGGTGAAGATGTCATCTTAGGATCTGTGATACCTGGTGAAGGGATCTCAGGACTGCGATTCCAGTTCTGCAATTAAAAAATGATCCTCATAAGTAAAATAAGAAATAAGCTTGCAAAAACAACTGTCTCTTCTGACCAGCTCAGTTTCTAAAAGGATATATATAAAAATTGAAATCATGTGCATAGAAAATGAACAAGGAAACATAAAATATTTACTCCCAATTAGTTGAGAATGTCTAAAAAAATGCTAAACTCAACAAAAAAGAATTGTACAAAGTAGGTGTGAGCCAGCTTAAGGGTAGAGATGACAATGACAAAGAAGGTGTAAAGACTTCGCTTCCTTTCATTTTTTTCTTTTTGTGTATTTTTTTAAAACCAAGAATAATCTCCAGCCTGGACAGGTAAGCAGGGGAAATGGCAGGGAGGGAATGAAGCCCATCACGGGTATACATGTTTAAAAGGAACAAGTCCGTCTCCTGATCTGGACAAATTTCACACTGAGAGACCATGAAGGTGGTAAACGAAGCAAGGCAAGAAGACTAGAGACAGGAAATGGAATTTCCATTTTTTTTAAAAAAATGGTGGGTGATACAACTATAGATTGATTCCAAGGAAGATTAGACTGAATTTTCTCAAAGGCAATGTATAGTATTAGAAATAGAAAGGTGATCGTTAGGAATAAACATGGGTTCACTAGAAAAAATCTTATCACACTAAATCCAGTTTCTTTTGTTGACAGGATAATGAAAAAGGACTAAATGCAAATAAATCGTTCACCTGAATTTCAACAAAGCATCTGGTAAGTAGCTAATGGTAGTCAAGTGGTGGAGAAGAATTATCATACATTGGAATCTTCTGACATCTTGTTACCGATCCAATGGGTTGACCTTACACTAGCATTACAGTGACTTCACACGGGGCTTTGCCCTGGCTCTCCTGTTTGTCATTTTTATTAAGGGTACAGAATTAATGATTCTGAATTTATCAATGCCACAAGGGGGGCAAGATAGCTCATTGTGTGATGAGATAGAATTACGGTGTAAATATTTTTAAACAGGAATAATGGCTTCAATCTAAGACAAAATTTAATAAATGCTAGGCCTTATTCTTATGTCTCAAAAAGCGGAAGCAGACACTCTGCATGAGAAATCAAGGTGCTGCTCAGTTTTAAACTGTACTTTATTATGAGGGCAACGGTAAAGGCACCCTGTGCTGAGAGCTAGTACAAACATCATCGCTAATCCTCAGAGCCACGTGGCAAAGATGGCATTATCTCCAGCTGGAGGTGAGAAAACGGATGCTAAAGAAGTCAACCAACCTGCCACAGTTCTCACAAGTTAAGGAGCGGAGAATCAAATAAGTTTGTCTGATCCCCAAATCCATGCTCTTCCCGAGACCAGCACTGTTTCAACATCCAAGTGTATGTGAGAGCCAGACTCATTGGCTTTACTTCTAACTCCCATATGCGCTGTGATACATTTGCTTTAACATTATCATAATTCTTCATGCTATTTCAAAATGGTCCTTCCCTTTATCAAGGAAGAAAGGCTATCTTTGGGTAAGCAGTGTTATTCAATTAGGTAAAAAATAATAATTTACCTCAAATATCCAAATCGTTCCACTGTCTAAAACAGAGGTTAGCAAACTGTGGTCTGCAAGCAAATCTAGACCACTCCCTATTTTTATTTATATGCATAAACGGTTAAAAACAAAATCTAAAGAGTATGTCATGATACATGAAAATGACATGAAATTCAAATTTCAGCGTCCATAAATAAAGTTTCACTGGAGCCCTGCCATGCTTCTCCATGTGCACAGTCTGACTGCTTTCACACGACAGAGTGGGACAGTTGTGACAGGGACCATATGCCACACGCTCATCTTCACTGCTGTTCAACACACTGCAAGTCTCAGTGATGCAGTCATAGTTCGACAGCATTTCAAGTGGCACACATATTGCCATACATTTTATTATTTTTACTACCCATGCATACTCATCCTGTAAGAAAGAAAAGTGAACTTTGAGTGTTGCCCTTTTAAGGCACAGTGGCATATGGGTTATTCTGTTACACAATTTTATGGCATCATGTTTACTATGCCATGACACTTTAGCTGTGCTAATCCAACTTATTTTGACATGACCAGACTAAGCACTCATCACAGTATCTCTAACTCACAGGACTGCAACAGTCAGAAAAATTAGAAAACAAGAAATGTCTCATTACAGTAGAATTTATTCACACACAAAAAGGTTGAGAACTGGGGCACAACCAAAGTTACTTTCTAAGTGGCTCATTTATTAGTCAAGCAAAGAAAACGATTAATGGTGTGTCCAGAGAAAATAAACTTGTTTAAGACTACTAGCGTTTTAGCAAGGACTGTTACTTGAAGACACCAATCGTCAACTAAATAACAAGGCAAATGTTTTCAAGTAGTTTTCCTTGGCTTTTGATGAGTCAATAGACGCAAATGTAAACAAAAAGACTGAAAATGGAGCTGGAGCCCCTATGCCAGAGGACTGCTTTGCAGCCGTACGCCTCCAATCTTTGGGATGTTAAAACAGGACCAAATAACCTTTGGACTGGGCCTAAGCAGCCTTGTACCCAAAAATACTGTTTGCAAAGACAACAAGAAGGCGGCTATTAAACTGAACTGATAACTACTGAATTGAAATGTAGTAACATTGTTTTGAATTAATATCACTGCGTTTACTTGACCAATAGAAATGCCATCCTTCTGCAGATACAATTGGTTCTCTTCCCTTTCTCATAAATACCCATTGCTTTTTTCTCCTAATCAGAACATTATTTGGGCCCCTGTATGCATTAATGATACCCAAATCGCTATTTTTATTTATCTCAATAAATGCTTGTTGCCTCTCACTTTAAAAGGCCTTTTATTTTTAGGTTAACATTACCAATACTGGCCGGTTATTGTTTACCAGAGACGTCAGCGCTGAGTTTGAAGTGACTCAAGAATTACCTTCTGTGAACAGTCTTTATGGACCAACTACAAGAAAGACTACTTTTAAACAACTTGAGAAAACACTAATTCAGTGCAAACTGAAGTGGAATCCACTGTTACAATTGAGGGTGGTAAAAATATGTGTAGAGCAGGTGGAGGTTTACTGGACAAATTTACAAAACTGAAAATGTGAAAGGATTAAAGTCAAGATTTATACTTTATGTTATTCAATAGCAGGTATTTTGTGGAAAATACTTGACTGTCATCTTATTGAACTAGTTAGTAAAGTCAATAGTGAATTTCATTTACTCTTGTGGTCTTATCCATCATCGCCTCCATTAAGCTTTATCAGAATAGAAACTAAATACCCAGACTTGCCCAGCTACACAGCAGTTTGATGGCAGCAAGACTGATTTTTTTCTGAATGAGATCACACTCACCTTTTATTAATGAAAACAGAATGGCTTTGGATATTAGCTTCTGCTGCACAGTTGATGTTTCTTATTTCTTAATACAGTCAACATAAAATTGTAAGGCAAAACAACACTTATGTGAAACTTCTGCTGCAACAAAGCCATGATGATGACAACTAATGCTGTTCACATCACAAATGATGTCAGGCTGCTCCATATACTTCCCATGCAGGCAAGTTAAAACAAGCAATAAGATCTCCATTCTCCATGCAAACTTGCAGTGGATATATTTTGCAAACTCAACTATAGTTCCAGCTGTATTTTTGGATCTCAATGCAAGTGCAAAAGAAACTTCCATATTTCAAAATCTGATCATACAATTGAGGAGCATCTAATGATCCTTCGAGAGGAAATGTTTAATCAGCAATGGAATGATATGCCAAAAGGCAAATATCTCATGGAATTCCATAACTACCTTACAAATTTATATGCTCAATTAAAATCATAAACTAAGGATTGGTAACAATATTTAGTAGTATCTGTGTAAAGATATTTTCAGAGATGAAATACATAAAATCGTATCACAGATCAGCAAAACAGACACATTTGCCATTGGTTTTGAAATCCAATTAGGTGAAGCATTATCCCCTCAAAATAATTCAATTATTATCAGTAGACCTGTATTACAAAAAAACATGTGTTCATATGTATTTTAAATTTTATCAGTTCAAAATTAGTGGGAATTTGTTTTCTTTCTCATTACACAAGTATATAAAAGTCTCAATTTTGCCTCTGGCCCACAGTCTCAACTTTACCAAAAAAGATTTGCCAACCCCAAGTCTAGAGCAGTACAGTAGTGCTTTTCCATTTAAGTAAAATCACAGTATGGTAAACATCCCTAAAAACAATCATTCTTTCTAACAAAGCCATTTTAATGATTTTCTATACGTAGTCTTTTCTTTGGCTATAATCCATGTAGTCTTATGAAGTAAGTTTCCTAAGAAAATGACAAGTGGCTCTGTATTAGAGCTGGGTAGAGAAGAAACTAGCTATCCTGGACATCAGCAAAGTCTCACAATTCAATTCATTTCTACTCTAGTAAAAAAATTAACTTTTAGCCCTGGCCGGTTTGGCTCGGCGGTTAGAGCGTCCACCTGCAGTCCGGAGAGACCCGGGTTCGGTTCCCGCTAAGGGCATGTACCTCGGTTGCAGTTTGTCCCCGGCCCTGGTTGGTCGTGCGGGTGGCAGCCACTCGATGTGTCCCTTTCACATCGATGTTTCCCTCTCTCTCTCTTCCTCTCTCTCCCTCCCACTCTGTCTGTACAAAAGATGGAAAAATGTCCTCGGGTGAGGATAAAAAAGAAAAATTAGCTTTGACTTCTACCAATCCAATTCTATCACAAAATCCTTGAAAAACTAAACAAAAACACATCAATTACTTATGACCCTCATTTTTACCTGAATCCAAAACATTTTTCAAATGTACTCATTCAGTATAATTGATTTCTAATAATATATTCAGATTAAGTCTCAATAATAATGATGATAATAATAATAATTCCTAATTTAAAACAATTAGGTTTGCCACAATATTTTATTTTGTTTTCCTCATCATGATAGTGGATATCTATTGATTTTGCCTGTTTAGTATCCATTCTTACCTTCTGATAATAATGCTCTTATTTCCTTTTGGGTAATACTCTTTCCACCTCATTTCTCAGTCCAATGTGCCCACTCGAGGTGGGAGAACAGCGTTCC